ATTTACTACAAACTCCCAAGTCTCCAGGGCTCCACCCGCTACCCCATATCTCACAGGTAATTCAAACTCAAAATGTACAAATCCAAACTCACGTTCCCCCTCCTAACCTGAACTTCCTCCATGTTTGAGATCCTGTTTGCTCAAGCTAGAAACCTGGAAGTCATCCTTGACTCCTTTTCCTCTCACTTTCAGACGCAGTCAGGGACTAAACTCCATCATATTTCATGTTCCAAATATTTTTCAAATGAGCCCACTTCTCTCCCTCTCCATTGCCACTACCTGGGCTATTGCATTTAATAACCTTGGATTACCACAATGACCTTCTGACCAGTCTCCCTTCCTCCAGTAATACTGCCTTCCAATTCAAGCTAAGCAGAATAAATAATTCATTTTTTTCCCCCAGATACAGGGTCTTGCTGTGTTGCCAGGCTAGAGTGCAGTGGCACAATCGAAGCTCAGCCTTGAACTCCTTGGCTCAAGAGATCCTTCTACCACAGTCAACTGGGTAAAAAGATTATAGGCATGTGCCACTATGCCCGGCTAATTTTTGTTATTTTTTGTAGAGACAGAGTCTTGCTATGTTGCCCAGGATAGTCTTGAACTCCTGGCCTCAGGCAATCCTCCTACCTTGGCTTCCCAAAGTGCTGGGATTATAGGCATGAGACACCATTGCCCAGAATGAACTAAATAAAGAACTCATTTAATCAGAAAAAAAACAATTGTCCTGCTTACCTTAATCACACTCCCAATATGGTTCTGTTGAATTAAAAGATCTGTTAGCTCTGCAGTGTTCACAGGAGCCTTTAGAAAAAGCTAAAAGGAGGAAAAATTATTTTAAATTAAGTTCAAAGCATGATTTCTAATAACTTCAAATCCCATATTCAAATACAAATAATGAAATTTCTGTGACTTAATTAAAAAGATGACCTAGAAAAGCAATCCTAAGAGGGAAAGAAAAGCCCAGGAGAGCCAAAGAAGCTAAAGATTAGGAAATTTCAGAGAAGCAGTGAGTGGTAATACAGAAGTAATGGGGGAGGGAGATAAAAAAAAAAAAACAGAGAGAAAGGAGAGAGGATGCACACAAGGCCGAAGAATTTGGTGAAAAGGACAGTGGAGGCTATAAAGGTTAAAGAACCAGTCATATTATATGAGTCAACGAATAAGGAGAAGCAGCAAGCATCAATTTTGTGGCACCAAACAGCACAGTTACATGACTACTAAGAATTGTGAATTAGAGAAAACAAAATAGTAGCTCAACTAATTAGCAGATGAAATAATTCTTCCTTCCAGGCAAGGTAGAGAGGATAGAAATGGAAATTCTAAAAAGATGAATTTGAGAGAGTCTGTATTGAATGATCTGAATTTGCTTTTTTTTTTTTTTCTTTTAGAGACAGAGGCTCGCTCTGTTTCCCAGACCGGAGCTCAGTGGTGCATTCATAGCTCACCGCAGGCTTGAGCTCTTAAACTCAAGTAGTCCTCCAGCCTCAGCCTCCTGAGTAGCTAGGACTAAAGATGTATGGTACCATACTTGGCTAATTTTTTATTTTTTGTAGACCAGTTCTCACTATGTTGCCCAGGCTGGTTGCAAACTCCTGGGATCAAGTGATCCTCTCACTTCAGCCTTCCAAAGTGCAGAGATTATAGGCATGGGATTTTTCTTAGAAGAAAAAATTTATGCATAATAAATAAAAGAGAATACCTGCTGCAATAAAAAATTTATGCATAATAAATAAAAGAGAATACCTGCTGCAATAATTTCTTAATTCCGTCATGATCGTTATCTGATATGGAATAAGCTTCAAATTCGATATTCACTTCCTGTAAATAACACATAAAATAGTTGTTACCAGAAAAGCTACAAACATCTAGGCTTTAAAACAGGCAAACATTGCCAAAATAGCCATCTGTAGAGAATACAAAGCACCATCACACCATTTCTTCATGTGACACAAAAGCCTGAGAGAACAAAACACTCAGAGTAACCTAGTTTAAATGTTGAGAAAGTCCAGTTCAAATAAACCAGTCACAGCAGCCACAAAGAAAAAATTATTTTCCTGATTGCCAAAAGGGTGGGCAAAAATAAAAATCATTTCAAAAGTCTATGGAATTGCCTAGAGCTTGATTTAGCCCACGGATTTGAGGTTACACTTCCTTCACCTAGCAAATATTTATTAAGTACCAATCCAGGTACCAAGCACTATGCCAGACACTCAAGATGAAAAGGTTATGCCAGGTGCGGTGGCTCATGCCTGTAATCTCAGCACTTTGGGAGGCCGAGGTGGGCAGATCACGAGGTCAAGAGATCAAGACCATCCTGACGAACATGACGAAACCCCATCTCTACTACAAAAATTAGCTGGGCATGGTGGCACATATTTGTAGTCCCAGCTACTCGGGATGCTGATGAGGCAGGAGAATCGCTTGAACCCAGGAGGCAGAGGCTGCAGTGAGCTGAGATTGCGCCACTGCACTCCAGCCTGGTGACAGAGCGAGACTTCGCCTCCAAAAAAAAAAAGAAAAGGTTAGTAAGGCAGACAGGAATGATCCTGCTCTCATGCAGCTTATAATTTAGGGAGGAATATAGACATTAAGGAAATATTTGTAGAAATAAAACAAAGGTATCACGGTACTATAACAACTTAAAAAATAAGTGAGGAAAGGAAAGGCTTCCTTAAAGAAGTGATACTTGAGCAAGGAAGCAAGAAAAAGCAAAGAGGGTTGCTTGTACAGGGAACAGCACAAACTAAGGCCCTAAGGCAGAAGGAAATATGATGAGCACAAGGGACTAGAAGAAAGAATGTGTAGCTGGGCTCCCTGATCTGTACCTTCAAGACAACAGAATCTAAAAGAAGATGGCAATGAAATACCAAAACCAAAACCTAGTTGCTTTTAAACACTATCAAGATCCATCCTTGAGGACCCTAAATCCTACCTTGATAAATGATACAACGAACCTGGGGCTCTGATGAAATAATTTATTTTGATGCTCTTCAGGTTTCCATGGTTTGGGAATTTTGGTCTTAGCTAAAGGACATCACAGAGGAAATTAGACCCACTTTTACCTTGCCACACGGACATATATTTAAGGCTTCCTTAATTGTTAAACTTGCAACGCCCTGGAATTGCTCTAAGCAATTTTGAAGCAATTCCAGCTCCAATTTGAACTCCTGAAGTTCAGCTTTGCAGATCAAACGCTAACTCAGCCAGATTATGTGAGTAGCAAAACACAAGGGGTAGGGTGGGAGTGTTCCAAACAGGATCAAACTAAACCAAATAACAAATTGTCATTATTCAGGACTTAAATTTATTCCTTAGATCTAAATACATTCTGTAAATAATGCTCTTCTAGTGTTTTTTTCTTTGTCTAGATAGACACCTCGGACCTCTGTCCCAGACTATTATGGCACCACCAGGGAAATGGGCAGCAAATGGATTATCTGTCCAGCACCCTTTTCCCGGGTATGGGATCATCTCCGTATGGTTTCGACAGGAACAGCCACGTTTGTAGAAAACAGCCCTGTCCCTCATTCCCAGGTGATTTAGAATTAAGACTGTGGTGGTCTGATAGACTTCCCATGTTAACACAAGAACCACTGCTTTCTATAACCCACAGTCATAAAATAGCCAAAGTTCTAAGTGAAAAATGGTGAGATGGCATTCAAGGCACAGAGCCAAAATAAAGATTTGTAAAGCTACGATCACACAGCTGGTGAATTTAGGGACCATTTACAGAAATGACGATGGTTTAAGAGAGGGGCATGAATTATTACACAAATTCTGCTTTGGACAAGTTAAGGTTGAGGTATCTATTTAGACATTCAATAGTCTGAAGGATCACTCAGTCCGAATTATTTATTAAACAAATAATAAGTACCCACATTAGCAGGCACTATGGTAGGACCTATTCTGAAGACAGGAACCCAGTTCTGTGAGACTATGAAGCAAAGATTTACCCACGACTTGGGTCAGCTGCCCCAGGAGCCAGAAAATACAGCCTAGCTGAGATCTGAAGAAGGAAGGGAAAAGCAGGAGGAAGAAGAGCATCTGAAAAGGCTTCTACGGTAGAACTCGGCAGGAGCCTTCGAGAAACTGAGGGCCCCTGTGAGTGCAGCCTGCACAGTGAAGAGGCGGACAGCTGCTCCCCCGGGGGAGAGGGCCGGCTCGCGGGCCCGGGGTGGCCGATTCAGGATTTGAGGCTTCGGCCTGAGAACTAAAGCAGGCGAGAACGCCACACCTGTTGCGGCGGGCTTTTTCGAGGGGACGCGCGTTGGGAGAATAACCGGATCGGAGTAGGCCTTTGAAAAATAACTACTATGGCTGCAGTGTGTTAAAGGCCGAGGAGGAACCTGAGAAACAACACATCTCCAGTTTCTGCTCACAGACCCTCAGGAACAGGAAAGACACTCCACTGTTTTCACACAGCCTGGGCTTGCCACAAGTTTATAAACCAACTAGAGAAGTGTGTGTCCTTCTCACCTCGTCAACGACCTCGTCGTCTTCATCCTCTTCTTCGTCACTGTCGTCATCGTCTTCGTCCTCATCCTCGACTTCATCTTCCTCTTCGTCGTCGCGCTGGACCTGGGCGCCCGGCGGCTGCGGAACGCCACTTCCCACAGCCCTCCGTTTGGCCCTGGACGCCATGTTGCCGCCCACACTGCGCCTGCGCAGCTTCCCCTAGCCTGACCTTACAGACCAGCCCATAGTAGCCAAGGGGGTGAGGGATTACGAAGAAGCTAGGAGCTGAGTGCACGCCAACCCCAATGCCCCTGCAGGATTCCGCAGCCACAATCCCTTACAGTCAGGTCCAGCTTGCAGTCCTCGCTTGCTTTTTTCTTCCTCTCTCCACCCTCTCGCACTCCTCCCAAGGCTTCTCCTCCCCTTCGCTTAGTGGTTCAACCCATCTAGCCTCAGGTCTCACTCGGCCGCCTGGATTTCGAGGCGCATGCGCGAGCATTCAGGTGTGCGCGCGGCCACCCCCCGGCCCTAGGCTGAGGTCCGGGGTTCTGGGGCCCGGTTCGCCGCCGCAGCCGTTAGGCTGCATGCGGAGGGGACCGCCCACCCTGTTGTCATTGCTCCTGCGGCCTCAGCAGCCTCTTCGCTGGGACTGCGCGACACCGCCCCCCGACTGGGCGCTCGCGGTATCCCAGGCCCGGTGCTGGGTACGGTCCAGCCTTTTAGCCCATTAGGGCTTCGCCAGCCCCGCGAGGTAGGTGTCGCCGCCCGCGGTACCCGTGCAGGGCCCCGGCCCTGGGCAGTGTGTGACTCCGCGGGGCCAAGGCCCCGAGGCCGCTGCGGGCCTGGTCCTGTCCAGGCGGGAGGTCTGTGGTCCCTACAGCTGCGCCAGTGACGGAAGGCGCCTGCCCAGCCTACCATCGCCAAACTTCTGGAGCGCGTTTCTTGACCTAAAAGTTTTTTTTAAAAGCATGGACTGCAATTAAAAATGCTTCGCGGGGCCGGGGGCTTGGTGGCTCACACCTGTAATCCCAGCACTTCGGGAGGTTGAGGCGGCTGGATCACCGGAGGTCAGGAGTTCGAGACCAGCCTGGCCAACATGGCGAAACCTCGCCTCTACTAAAAATACAAAAATTAGCCGGGCGCGGTGGCTCACACCTGTAATCCCCAGCACTTTGGGAGGCCGAGGGGGGTGGATCACTTGAAGTCAGGAGTTTGAGACCAGCCTGCCCAACATGGTGAAACCCCGTCTCTACTAAAAGTATAAAAAGTAGCCAGGTGTGGTAGCAGGCGCCTGTAGTCCCAGCTACTGAAGAAGCTGCGGCAGGAGAATCGCTTGAACCCAGGAGACGGAGTTTGCAGTGAGCGGAGATCGAGTCACGCACTCCACGCTCCAGCCTGACGTCATCTCAAAAAAAAAAAGAAAAAAAAAAAAACTTTGGGGCCAGTGGGGTAGTCTAGGTTAAAGACCCGAGCCAATTTTGATAGAAGAGTAGAGGGGACGGCGGGCAGCTGCAGAGTTGGTGAGTCTCCGCTGCCATCCCCTGTGGCAGGTGGGGATTCGGCCCAGTGCGGCCAGGTCTTTCCATTGCGAGAGAAGTGGGGGTTCTGGCTCTTTATGAGAAACACCCTGACTGTTTAAAAACCCATACCAAATAAAAAACCTCATCAACCTCAGGTTTATCCCACAGGCTACCAATTTGCCTTCTGTTGTGAAAAATACGTGGAAAGAAAATCATTAGAGAAGCCCTCAGCTTTCTGGGAATAAGATCTACACCCTTGGCTCTCAGGCCTTCAAGCTACACCACCAGCCTTCCTGCTTACAAGTCTCCAGCTTGCAGACAGCAGATCATAGCACTTCTCAGCTTCCGTAACTGCATGAGCCAATACCTTACAACAAATCCCTTTCTGGATGTAAATGTATGCCATTGGTTCTGTTTCTCTGAAGAACTCTGACTAATACACCCAATACAAAGGGGCCCGTGCTCCTTCTGTCTTGTTCCATCATCCCTAGGTTGTTCTCTGCAAGTATGAAGGGTTTGGCCACCCCATCCACGTTCCAGGCAGAAAGAGGGAGGGGAGGGGAGGGACCAGCATTTCCTTCTAAGTACAGAACTGATAAGTTTTGCACATCACTTCACCTTGCATCCTGTTGGCCAGAACCTAGTCGCCTCACAACCTCTAACTACACAGTTTTATTTTCGGCAACCATTGCCCAGTTAATGAGGAGTGCCTGTTTCTGTGGGGAGAAGGGATGAGTAAATGTTTAGGGGCAACTGGCAATCTATACCACACCTCCCAGTCCCAATAAGATGTACCAGCTATGAATCTTGAATATTCTTTCATAAGACTTACTGCATTATGAGTCTGTTTTTACTGATTTTTAAAGTACCTTTTTACCTTCCTGTAAATATAATGATACAGGGATCATATTGCATGCCTAGTGCCCAGTACAGTTACTGTTCTAGAAAGTTGTGATTTACTGATAAGATTTAACTAGACAAACCAAAAAAAGTTCAGGTGGGATTCAAAGAAGAAACACTTGTTTTCAGCCTGGTCCCAACCATTTCAAACTAGGCTGTAGACGGATGGTTTCACCCAGAATTATATCAGCAAATCCTGATAACTCTGCAAAATGAAGGCTTGATCCAGTCACTTCTTGACCTGGCCTTTGCTAAAGCTAGCACCCCTACCACAACTCTGATTTGATCACTGATGACTTTCGACTAATCTGCCATGACCCATGCGGTCTCTGTCCTTCCTTGCCTGAAAAGTCGGTGGTATTTCTAAAGTATAGATCCCATCACTGTCAATCCTATCCTAAACTTTTTAGTGGGGTCCCTTTTCTCATGAAATCCATAGCTTACCTTGTCCATTACACTTGAGCCACACTTACCCTTCTCTCCTGGGGATACTCAGGCCCCTTTCTGACCATGTCCTCACTGCTGTTGTCATTCAGATCACAAATGTCAAAATCACTCAAATGTCAGCTCCCCAGAGGTCTCCCTGGACATGGAACTAGTTATCAGCACCCCAGTCACTCTGCCAGATCAGCTCATAGCACTTACTAGTTCTGAAATCATTACACACAGCCCCAGTAAATAATGCAGACCTAATTTCCTGAGGAGGATTCCAAGCTTGGGATTTGGCATCACAGCCTGAGAACTATATAGAAACACTTGTGAGAGGGCTGGCTTCTGGGATTTGAAAGCATTACAGAAATATTCTTTGAAAATATAGGGATTTGTATCTCAGAGGCTATCTACTGGGGGCTGAGTAGAGCTCTGTGGCCACAGGATTGCCTGCTTCCAAGCATTATGCTTCTGCTTTTTAAACCCCACACTAACTGCTTTCTTTGTGTGCCACAAAAGGATGTATGCCTTAGCTGAAAATGCCAAGTTTTACCTGCTTTGGACCGATTGAATCAGGCCTACCTAGGTTATCTAGGATAATCTCCCTTACTTAAAGCCAGTTGATGACTTTATCTTATCTTCAGAATACCTTCACAGCAACACCTAGAGTAGTGTTTGGAAGAACAGTGCTTGGCCTAGTCAAGGTAACACAAAAGTTATCATTGCGGAAGGGTAGGCTCCTAATTTCTGTGTGAGATATATTTTGAGTAACTTCAGGAAGTGATAGGAACCATACTGCCCATTTCCCCAAATTCCCAATCTCTCTAGCTAACACCTTGATAGCAGCAATATTAGAACTTGATTTCATAAGTATTATATTTGTTCACCAGGTTTGGTGCTTAGGTACAAAACAGTTAATTTTGAGCCAATTTTCCCAAAATGCTCCATAAATATATATTCAATAGTAATTTATAAGTAATGGCACCCAAAATTGGTACATTTCTTTTTTTTTTTTTTTTTTTTTTAAGAGTGTCACTTTGTCACCCAGGCTGGAGTGCAATGGCTCGGTCTAGGCTCACTGCAACCTTTGCCTCCTGAGTTCAAGTGATTCTTCTGCCTCAGCCTCCCAAATAGCTGAGACTACAGGCGCATGCCACCATGCCTGGCTAATTTTTTTTTTTTAGTAGAGATGGGGTTTCACTGTATTAGCCAGGATGGTCTCAATCTCCTAACCTCGAGGTGATCTGTCCACCTCGGCCTCCCAAAGTGCTGGGATTATTGGCGTGAGCCACCACGCCTGACACATTTCTGTTTCAATCAATGTAGTCTATTGATTCTTAGCAACCACTGCATAATATTTATTAAGTAACTAACTGGAGGGTCTAATGCCATTTATGGAATGATAATCTGCCTCTCAAGCAGATTTATTCTGTAGTTTCTCAGCAGCATTTATTGATTTGTGTGTTTTAGAGAAAGGGTCTCACTCTCTCACCCAGGCTGGACTGCAGTGGTGGGATCACGGCAACCTCCTCCTCCCAGGCTTAAGTGATCCTCCCAAGGAGCTGGAACTATGGGCACATGCCACTGGGCCTGGGTGATTTTTAAATTTTTTTGTAGAGATGGGGTCTCACTATAGTGCCCAGGCTGGGCTCAAACAATCTACCCACCTCAGCCTTCTGAAGTGCTGGAATTACAGGCATGAGTCGCTGTACTTGGCCAGCCCTTGGGATGATTATAATGTGCCTTCCCCCCACCCCAATACAAGAGGAATATAGTTTTCATTGTAAAAAAAAAAAATGTATAATACTGAAAGAGGTAAAGTAGAAAATAGTCATTCTAATTTACCACTCAGAAATAATTACTATTGATGTTTTGGTGTATATCCTTTCATATATGTCTGAAAATTCTAAAATCATACTATTTATGTAATTCTGAATCTTGCTTTTTTCTTAACATTATTTTGTGATTAAATAATTCATGTAATTGTTTGTGAATATTTTAGTGATTTCTTAGATCTGTACCATGATTTCTTTAACCGTTCTCTCATTGTTGGATCTTTACATTGTTTCCGTTTATTTGTAATTCTGAAGAATTCTAGTGTAAGCATCTTTATGTTAATCTTTGGACGCCTTTATGAGTATTGCTTTAGTATTCTTAGAAGTGAAATTACAGGAAGAAAAAGGATGAAGTATATAAGGCTTTGATGTCAACAAATTGTTTTCCAGGTTATCAGACTGTCTTATGTTACTTGACAATGTTTAGAAAACATTTAATAAGTAGAAGAGTCAATATAACTATTTCCCAAAGCGATTATGAGCTACTTAGTATATTTATCTTGAAATGGAAAAGTTATTTATCTCCTTTAAATGTAAGATATCCATTTCTCTGTTGTTGATACAGCCCTAAATTTGCATCACTTCTCTTCTCCGAGCCATAAATGTTTGGTATAGGACACTTGACTTTCACTAATGGCTTTCATCTGTCTTTCCAAGTGATATCAACTGCTAACATGCTGTTTCTTGGCCTTATCAGTGACAAGGGTCTTCAGAAAGAAGAAGCCCATTAGTGCTAAGTCATGGTATAGGAGGGATAGGTCTTTTCAACAAGCAATTTTTTGCCGCCTTCTTGTGTACTGTTCCCACCGGACATTGCTTAGGAAGAGTCTTTGAGATCTAATTAAGATCTGTTTCCTTGCTCTATCACAGCGCTCTACAAGGGCCGCCAGGCAATAATGAAGGTTCTTTTACTGAAGGATGCTAAGGAAGACGACGGTGGCCAGGATCCATATATCAGGGTAAGTGGCCTGAGGCTCTTTGTCCCATAGGGTCCTTTCTGCTAAGTCAAGGGGCCTGGAGCAGGCAGGGGTGGGGTCTGCAAAAACTCAGAGGAACTAATACAGAATAAATGGTTAATGTTTCCTTATTTTAAAAACAGCTGTAGCCAATCCAGAACTATATTCTTTCATTTGCAGGAATTAGGATTATATGGACTTGAAGCCACTTTGATCCCTGTTTTATCATTTGAGTTTTTGTCTCTTCCCAGTTTCTCTGAGAAGGTAAGGCCCGACTTGACTGAGCACTATGTTAAGTGTTTGATTTCTGTAGAACCCTTGCCAGCCGAAGCCAGGGAAGGACTGTTATTACTGTCTCCTTATTTTATTCACAAACTTTAAAACAAGGCAGTATAACCTCACCTGGCTCCAGGAGGCTACTGCTGTTCAGACTCTCTGACTGAGCCTCTATCAGCCCCTCCAGAAAGCCACCCAGACTCAGAGATTGGGGCCCAGGAGAGCAGATCATGGTGAGAGCAGCAAACCTGCATTGCTCCTAGCAGTCCTAGAACCCTTTTACTCATCCTGTCATTTAATCTACCCCTCACCCCCCACCCACCCCTGCAAAGCAGGCCAGGTAGGTGTTATTTTCCCATTTTAGAGATTGGAGTCCCAAATTAGGCAACTCAGCTAAGACCTCTAGCAAGTAAGAGACAGGGCTGGGACTCAAACCCAGGGCTTCTGCCCACAACTTCAATTCTGCTTCCAGTGTAGGAGTGATAAAAAATTGCAGGAGATAAGCCCAGTAAAGGCTTTCAAATGTTTCAGAGTGAAAATCCAGTGCCCACAGCTTCAGGGACATCAGATGTATACAGCCGTCCAGTGCCTGGCTCAGAGTAAATGTTTGGTAGATAATATCACCATTAGTCTCTTTGAAAATCAGGGCTTCAGCATGGATATCACCCCCTGTATATTCCCACTTCTATTACAGAGTCAGGTCAAGGCTTCCCTCCTACCTGCACCCCACTCTAATCCCAGGCTGCGTGCGGCTTCCCCTCTGTGCTGCCGTGACGCTTATCACCCTGTGGTGCATTTGTCTGTCCCTGCCCTAGACTGTGAGCTTCTTAGGGGAAGTACTATGAATAAAGAGTGGACCTGTGTATCCTAAAAGTCCTGGAGTAAATAGTTCCAGGCACAGTAAGCACTCAGTAAGTGTTGGGGGATGGGTGGAAGGAATTAGTTTTCTTACTACTTTTGTGAAACGTTTGGAATACCGAGTCATACATAGCTCCTTGGAAGATGTTGAATGTAGCCATCATAAAAAATGACTTTATTGCTCTTTGGTGTGCAGCTTTCTCATCCTGAAGATTATGGGGGACTCATTTTTACCAGCCCCAGAGCAGTGGAAGCAGCAGAGTTGTGTTTGGAGAAAGACAATAAAACTGAAGGTGAGGGTGGGTCTACTGTAGATGCCACTGGATGTTTATTTACTGTTGTTTCTCCTGCTGGAAGACTTAAGTTCCAGAAGCAGCTGCACTTCTAAGAGAAGTGAGTGCTTAGTGGTGTCAGATCACAGACCCTGCCTTGGGAAACGGGAGACAGGGCTGCGTCTTAAACTCCCAGACAAGATGACCCTGAGAGGGACTTTCCCTATCTATTTGCTATTCACCTCCTGGGCACTCATATCTCCACTTAGAATGTATCAGGCAGCAGCTTCTTCCTCTGAAAATAGGATAAGTTCTACTTTCATCAAAGAGAGATGATGAAAAAATCTATAAGAAAATGGTCAGTGCCACCATGTCAGGCACTTAGTGACTCAGTCATCTCTTTGACCTGTCTCCCCACTGCCTTCCCTCACCATGAGAACAGTATGAAAATGGCAGTGCCCATTGACAGAACTCTGGGTTTCAGCCTGAGCAAACACCTTCTTAATAAATGCAACTGAACAGCTTCCCAGATAACATTTATGGAGTGCCTGTTGTATGTCACAACAGTGCCTGTTGTATGCCCGTGTAGTGAATACTTCACGTTCATGAACCATTTAACCCTAGATAGCAGTCCAGAGGCACACAATGCCGTGATCTGATGTTACCATTGAGAAAACTGAGGCTGGGAGGGTACGCACAGAACGAGTCCGTGCAGAGCCAGGCTCCACACTCAGGCCACCCACCTCCACAGTTACACTGATGAGCGGAGGCAGCAGGCAGAGTGGTCATTCAAGGGCTTTGGTGTGAGTTTGGCCTGGGTTTATGCAGCCATTTGGACCTTAATGAATTCCTTGACCTCTCTGAGCCTCAGTCTTCTTGTCTTTAAAGTGGGCATAATAATACCTGCATCATGGGATTATTACTTCTACTATTAGCTAGGTTGAATTTACTGAATGCTCACTCTGTGCAAGACTGTCATGAATGCTTTATCCTGTGAGATAGATATGCTTAGTATTTTCACTTGGCAGATGAGGAACCTGAAGAACAGAGGGTAAGGAACTTTCCAGGTCCCCACAATACATAAAGCACAAGTTCAGGATTCACGCTGGAGAGTCTGAGTCTTGAAGGGAACCATCCAGGACATTACCTGGAGTAGAGTGGGCATGGAGTAAGTGACAGTGGTGAGTTCTGGTTATTCTGCCTCCACATGTAACCAGGCTTCATTATAGCCTAAACATACTACCTTCTTGGTGATTGCATACACACATTCACCTCCAATTGAAAGTCTGAGGACCTAAGAAACTCAGAACCGGCCAGGCACAGTGGCTTAGGCCTGTAATCCCAGCACTTTGGGAAGCCAAGGTGGGCGGATCACTTGAGGTCAGAAGTTCGAGACCAGCCTGGCCAACATGTTGAAACCCCATCTCTACCAAAACATACAAAAAATTAGCTGGGCATGTTGGCACGTGCTTGTAATCCCAGCTACTCAGGAGGCTGAGGCACAAGAATCACTTGAACCTAGGAGGCGAAGGTTGTATGAGCTGAGATCATGCCATTACACTCCAGATGGGGAGGCATGTGTACTCTTTCCCAGTGGTGCCCTGGGTGTTTTTCTTGCAATTGTATTTTTTCCTTTTCTATATGTTTTGAGGGTAAAGATAATGAAAAAGAGGAAAACCCTAGAAAGGTCACTATAAGTCCTTCTGGTGCTTTATAATAAAATTTAAAATGTATTTTCACCGATATTTTCTTATTTTGATTCTCACAACAGCCATATGGAATAAGCAGTAGGGGTATAGTTAATTCCAGTTACCATGATGAAGAAACAGACGAGGTGGGTTAACTGACTTACTGGGACACACAGTAAGGGGCAGAGCCAGCTCCGTGGCAGACTTTCCGACTCCACCCGGTGCTCACTCCAGTTGTTCTGCTCCGAGGCTTGGAAAATGGTTTGTTTACATGCTATGGATAAGTTTTGAATAAGTACCATTGATATTTATGGGGTCGGAAACAAAGCGGAACTCAATCTTTGGTTACTCTTTCAGAGGGAATTTCCCTTAATGTAAAGGGTAGAGTAATAATGCTATTGAATTTAAGACGAAGTTACACTCATGACCAGATTTTAGAAAGGAAGAATATTATTTCCTTGTTTTCTAAAAATGTAATAAATGTCCAGTGGCTTTATTTTATTTATATAATCTATTTTCTCTTTGTATTTCTGTAATCCATATTTAAAGATTTTGTTTCATCATAAAATGATAGTATTCTATATCAAATTGTGTTTGTTAATTGACCTGAAATTTATTATTTTTACTTTGGTGTAATGAAGAAAAGAACCCGCTCCTCTGAGATTACAGTTTGTTAACTGCTTTCAGATTTATGTATAAAATAAACCAATTGGATTTATGTATTAGACATTTAAGTTGCTTTTTTTTTTAATGACAGTGTCTTTTTTTATATGTCTAGATTTAAATTTTTTATTTCACTATGCAAATTAATTCTTCAAGTTATGTTTATTTCCTGGTACCCATTAAAATTCTTCTAGTACCAACTGTGGAAAGAAGGTAATATTTCAAGCAAGGAATACTAAAACATTTATGAAAGCAATTTTTAAAAAATTGCCTATAAAACATGAACAATGTGAAAATGGAATTTTAGTTTGAGATGCTGTTCTTTACATTTAGTTATTAATAGTTTGCTTTGCTCACAGGTTTCTTAGGGTGAACAAGCAACCTTGGGCAATGGTCCAAATGGCCACTTTGGTATTTACAACTCACATATAATTTCATGTTTTACAGTCTGGGAAAGGTCTCTGAAAGAAAAATGGAATGCCAAGTCAGTGTATGTGGTTGGAAATGCTACTACTTCTCTAGGTAAGGAGTCAAGGTAAAAATAAAACACCAAAAAATGGCTTAGCCTTTTCATTTAAAAAAAAAAACAATTTAATTCAGTTTTAAAATATTATTTTTGCTTATTAAATTTGCAAAAATTAATTAAATATATGATGCTAATGATAAGAATGCAATGAAAGAAATATATTCAAACATTTCCAAATGTCATTAAAAATTGGTTTACATCTTTTGAGAACCACTTGGTCAGTTTGTATTCTAAAGCTTTGTTAAAATGTTTGTACCCTTTGGCCGACTAATCCCATTGTGAATATACATAATGCCACTGAATTATGGATTTAAGAAATGATTAAAATGGCAAATTTTATGTTATATTTTTACTATAATTTTTTTTCTTTTTTTTTTTTGAGATGGAGTCTCAACTCTATTGCCTAGGCTGGAGTGTGGTGGTGCGATCTCGGCTCATTGCAACCTCTGCCTCCTGGGTTCAAGTGATTCTCCTGCCTGAGTCTCCTGAGTAGCTGGGATTACAAATGCCTGTCACCACCCCCAGCTAATTTTTGTATTAGTAGAGATGGGATTTCACCATGTTGGTCAGGCTGGTCTCGAACTCCTGATCTCATGATCCACCTGCCTCAGCCTCCCAAAGTGCTGGGATTACAGGTGTGAGCCACCACATCTGGCCTATTTTTACTATAATATTTTTAAAGGCCTAAATCTCCAGATAGTGATATTATAGTTGGTTTTTATAGTTTTCTTAATATTTTCTACATTTTTCTAAAGTCTTGTTTATATATTCTTTTTAAAGCATAAAATGTAAATAGTAATCATTAAAAATTAACATTAAACATTTTAAATACTTAAAACAATGCTTAGCAATTGTCATAAATTAGCCTGTAACATTGTTACAGAACAGTTCAGTTTGTCCAATGAATTTGAAAATATTAGAGGAATGTGTAATATGAGTGAAAATAGTTTAAGAATTAAAAAGCACATTTTCCAGAGAACAAAATGAGGTTGCGGAAGAAACAGTTGGGAGTTGCTAAGCTAATTAAAAGATTATTCCTACATCTTCTGAGCAGCATGACTTTTACCAAAAGCTCAGCAGATCAGCCGGGGAAAGGAAATCAGTGGCTTGGTTGCCAAGGAAACCATCTTCACTCCTGCACGTCTTCCCCCAAAAATAAGTTAAGAAATTTGCTTGTTACTTTCTTTTATCATTTTTTTCTGAATGAGAAGAGGAAAGAAAATAAACAATTTCTTTCATTCTCTATATTTCTTACCAAAAATTGAACTATCAAATATATAGTGTTAGTGTATTTGTAGATTTCCCAAACTTTCACACATTAGCTGATAAGCAAATATTTTGAGTATCACATGCCCTTCAGTTTGATTTCAGTAGCATCCCTATGCATTTGGCTGTCACTGTTCTGTCATCTGAGAAGAAAACAAGAAAAAAGACTAGGGTGATACAAGGATGAGCATCTGTGTCTTGAGACTTAGAGTGGCTGAGAGTGGACTATATCAAGTGCTCACAAGCAGCAGAGTGTTGGTCTCAGTTGGGCACTCACTGGGCTCAGTCTGTTCCCTGTTTATTCGGTTGTGAAGGAAAAGGACATGTTCTAAACGCAGGGAACATATTATCAAAGGAGAGAGGAAATTAGAGATTTTGTAACTTTTAAAATTTTCTTTGAAAGGAAATCACATTTTTCCTTAACATGAAAGTCAGTCACCTAACTTTGAACATTCTATTTGAGTTCACCTCTTCAGACCTAATAATGTACAAAGGAGCTGTTTTTGAATGAGTACAGGGAGGAGGCATTGCTTGAACTCTCTGAGGTTTCTGTTCATCTAGAGTCTCAGTAGGAGCCTGCAGAGTTAGCAGAAGTTGAGCACCAACAGCTGGGAGGAGACCAGGCCCAATGTATTAGTCATCTTTTGCTATGTAACAAATTACTCCAAAACTTACTAGCTAGAAACAAGCATTTATCATCTCATTGTTTCTGTGGGCCAGAATCTGGGCATGCCTTAGTGGGTTCCTTTAGCTGAGATCTGTCACCAGGCCATAGTCAAGTTTGACTTGGGGAGGGTTTGCTTCCAAAATCATTCACATAGCTGTCAGTGGGCCTCAGAAGATCTGCTTCCCAGCTCACTCACACAGGCCTCTCAAGAGGGCTACCAGCGACATGGCAGCTGGCTTCCCCTGTCATAAGGCAATCCAAGAGAGCAAGAGAGCACCTACCACTGAAGCCACAGTCTTTTTATGACCTAATCTTGGAAGTGACATCCATCCCTTCCGCTATCTTCTCTTTGCTTGAATCAAGTAAGTCCAACCCACACTCAAGCAGAGGGAGCATGGATCACGGGGATCATTGGGAGCCACTTTCCAAAGCCCAGGAGCCCTCTGGTGAAGAGCTGCCCCTGGTTCCCCAGAGCCTAGGAATCAGGTTAGGAAACTTGAACATTTGAAGCAAAGAGAAAATAGACATTTTTCTTGAAGTAGAAATGAAAACGAGGGTCCAGTGAATAGCAAGGAATCTCGGTATGGAAGTCCAGTGAGAGAAGATGCCTATATTTCTTTATAAATGTTGCAAGACTTTATACCAGCCTAATTTTACAGGTATTATTGATTAATAATAGATGGCAAAAAAGTACATGCTAGCTGGGTGCAGTGGCTCATGCCTGTAATCCTAGCACTTTGGCAGGCTAAGGCAGGCAGATCACTTGAACTCAGGAGTTCAAGATCAGCCTGGGCAACATGGTGAAACCCTGTCTCTATTTATTTAAAAATAATTTTTTTTTAAAAAGTACATGCTATGTAACATTGTACAGTAAGTCCTCACTTAACATTGTTGATAGCTTATTGGAAACTGCCACTTCAAGTGAAATGATGTATAATGAAACCAATTTTTTTTTCCTCTTCAGTGTTGTAATGAAAACACGTTGAATGATGTTATTCAAGGACGGGCTGTATGTTGTTTTGCTTACAGTGACAATTTCTAAGAATCTATTGTTGACATTAAGCAAGGACTTACTGTACTTCGTCTACATAAAATCTCCTGAGAACATTATATGGTTGGATAATATATGCATACTTTAATAACATTCTAATTTGTATTGAAGAAGCAGAGATGGTCGGCTCGTGGGCTGATACCTGGCAACTCAGCCAGCCATATCAAAGGAAAGCCTTCCATTTGGCTACCCAAAGGTCAGATGCCCCAAATTTTCCATCTGATTGCAAGGTTGGACCTAGGCACCATTTAGTATCCACTGTTGCTTGGCCTTGTAAACCCAGGCCAGTGACGTCACAGAAGATAGCTTAGCAATTAGCAACTTGGAATTCATCACACAGAAAGACTCTATTACCAGCTTGGGCAACATGGTGAGATCTCTTCTCTACCAAAAGCAACAAAAAATTATCCAGACTTGGTGGTTCATCCTTATAATCCCTTTAACTCAGGAGGCTAAGTTGGGAGGATTGCTTGAGCCTGGGAAGTTGAGGCTGCAGTGAGGCAAGATTGCACCACTGCACTCCAGCCTGGGCAACAGAGTGAGACCCTGTCTGAAAAAAAAAAAAAAAATTAGATTAAAAAAGCAAATAAATAGATTATTTGTAAAACAATTTTTTATTATGAGATATATGTTTGCATTGTTGGAAGAAATTATCATCTAAAGATATTTACTATTTTTGACTCTCTGTTATATACCAGGCACTTTGCTATGCATTTTATGTATGTCATTTCTTGTTTTCATTAAGAAAGGTGTTAGTAAGCCCATTTTTTTGATTTAAAAACAAAAACTGAGCCTAAGAGAGAGGATGTGATTTACCAGGTCACACACTTTGAAAGTGGTACAGCCATTGTTTAAATCCACAACTGCATTTTCCCAAAGCCAGCCTGCCCCCCTGTATATGCGTGCAGATGTTTTTACCATTTTAAGGCCATATATATTTTTTAATTGCCATGTTTTCCCATTAATTCTGGAAAGACTTTACAGAAATCATCTTATTCATACACTTGTTAATGTCTTCAAATATCATTTTTTTCTTATTGATTTGTCTGTACTAAGGATTTTATTTTACCTTCAGATTTACTAATTGGCACCTTTTCAGCCTAGGCATTAACCAGCAGAGATTTCACCCCAGAGGTTTACACAGCCCAGGAAACTGGATCTATTGTGGCAGTCAGTGTCTTAACCTCTGAAATGTAAGAAGTACTCTCTGGCAGGTTTATTTAACACAGTTGTAGACAATTTGAGGTTTCACTGTCAGCTTTTACTTAGGCAGCACCCTTAAGATGGGCTTGCCCAGCCAGAGCATTGGTTGAAATGTTGTACTGACTTCATGCAGAGTCAGTCTTGCCACATTCAGGGACTGGGACCTTATACAAACATTTCTTGAGAGCCTTCTGTAGGCTGTGGAGTGGACCAGGTAGCCCCAGTCCGTGCCCTCACGAGTAGAGCTGGCCACTGCTTACTAGCTTCCTTCTCTCTCAAGTACAGTAGTAATTGTTTTGCTCACAGGGTTGTGGTGTAAGGATCAAATGAGCAAGTGCTTACTTTGTGATCAGCAAAGCTGTATATGAGAGTTAATGTTCTGGTTATGGTTATTATTGTTTCATTACTTGGGAAAAATGCATATTCATGTCAATATTGATTATCAGCATCACTGCCAAGTTCTCATGTCTCAGTTCAGTTCCAGTGGGGTTTCTACAGGTTTTGTTTGTTGGATCCAGCCTAGGTTGCCACCGCAGCATAAGCAAGGGCTTAGTTCCTGAACTGGGTTTACAGTCATATGCGACATTTTTTTTCTTTGATTCAGCATGTTTTTAATGATTCATAAGTTAAAAGCTGCTGGTGTTTTTATTAAAGCTGCCATTTGTTACTAACTAGCCTCTTGTGTGACTCCTAAGTGGACTGCCCACAGCACTTCCTTCCTCTGAGGCATTCTGCATTCCTGTGAGCAGGTAGCAGTGTTGATTGAGCCAGCCTCCTGGGTCCTTCCTTCATCAACACCCTTTGTGGAATGGCCAAGCGTTTGCTGTCTGGAGAAGTGCAGGGGGAGCCTGGGTCTGTTAGCTTCTTACTTGGTTCATGAATACAGACCTCATGAAAGTGCTGGTATCGCCCCTTATCCTAAATGACCTGTATTTGTAGTGTTGTGGGTCCCTGTTAGCAGATTATTATAAAACCTTTCCTCCCCTTCCTTCGATTTTATTCTGGCCATGTCAAGCCATGACATCTTTCTGGATGTGGTCTGGCCACATCTCCCCAACAAAATGAAGGCTCTGTCAGGCAGATTCCTGCAAAAAGTCCCGAATTAGCCATCATCTCCTTCCTGGCTAAATAGAAAACAGCCTTTGTTGAGCTCCTCCTAGATGGCAAGCAGTTTGCTCTTATTATCTGACATGATCCTTAAAATAGTTCTGTATGGTTGGTGTTCTCCTCCCTTGTAGATGAGCTACATGGGGCTCAGGAAAGCTAGTTAATGCCTTACCCAATCTGCACATTTGGGGGTGCAGGTACCAGGATCTGATGCTTTCTTGTCTTCTTGCAATCTTCCATTAGGGGCTTTCAAGAAAAGACATTCTCAATGTGATTTGTAAAGTGCATATTTGTGTATTTGCACATTAAAAAATAACGCTGGAACAAAAGGTCTTCAATAATCATGTAAAAAAATACATTTCTTTGTTGTTTTCCAGTGAGTAAAATTGGCCTGGATACAGAAGGAGAAGCCTGTGGAAATGCAGAAAAGCTTGCAGAATATATTTGTTCCAGTAAGTAGAAAAAGATCACTCAAAATGAAGCCCATTTATTTTTTGTTGACCTCACAACCACTACCTAGGGAACAGAATATTTCCTCTGTGCATTCTTGGTGGTGAGATTGATTGGTGAGCAACGTGTAACCCACTCTGGGACTGTAGCCTACCTGTATTTGTGTATGTCTATACTTGCATGAGGTTTAACCCACTTCCTTCTACCCCCTGTACCAAAGAGCTTGATTTGAACATAACACAAAATAAAACACCTGGGAGATAAAAGCAGAGGAGAGATCACTTGAGGGATTCCAAAGAGAGCAGAGGCAGGAGGTGTGAGTGGGTGCTCTCCCCTTCCCGAGTACTGTCCTTTCCCTTCTCAGGAGCTACTTCCTTCTCTGAATTCCCTCCCCCTGCTTGCTCCTAGGTAAAGAGCTGACTCATCTTTGGGCTGCATGTGGACTGGACTTAAAATGGCACTTGTTCTGGGGGTATTCATGTTTAAATGGGGACTTAGTCTTAAACTAATTATGGAATTTTAGGCTTCAGAAGATACATAGGCAAAAATTCTTGAAGCAAGAGGGATGGGAAGGCTGAAGTTCTGCTTGTAGGGTAGGCCCACCTCTAAGGTGCATCTCCGTTCTGCTCTCTTCCCTGCATGTCAATTTCAACCGCAAGCTCTTACACCCTTGTCATTTGACTCCTCCCTGCTGTAGCTGTGAGATCATACACCCCCATGAAAGCACAAAGTAGAATCACCTTGCCTTCAATTGCTGAAGAGGAGGAAATCCAGGCCTTCCTAGAGATCAGGGGCCGGCAAACTTCATCTGTTAAGGATATTTTAGGCTTCGCAGGCAAATGTTCTGTCACAACTACTACACTCTGCAATGGAAGCATGAGAGTAGCCATAGACAATACACAAACAATGGGCTTGGCTTCGACCTCAGGCTGTAGTTTCCTGACCCCTCTCTAGAATTGCTTGAGTGTCTGCTGAGCTGCAAGGCTGGGGTCAGATGAACTGCTGACAGCTGAGATTTTCCACTGAGGTGGTCCCAGGAGACGGGTATATTCCTCGACCCTGAGGTGGTGAGATCAGGATGGGTGGTATAGGGAGAGAGAACACCTTAAATAGGTCTTTTTTTTTTTTTTTTTTTT